CTAGTGCTCCATGGTTGTCTACCAAAATGGTAAACAACCGGGTTAATTAATTATTATTGCCTAATTTATAATTTATGGAGCTACACTTTGTCACAGTAAGATATTATTTTGACAAAATAATACAGATTTAATTTGATTACTACCATTAATCCGACATATCTTAAACCAACACTATTGCAATTATTATCTAAAGGCATACAATTTGTTAAATATCCTATAACAAAGAAGCCGACTAGATAATATTAAGAAGAAATGAATCTGCTTGAAAGTAGCTTTGTGTAACATGATACCTAAATCATCTTTCAGGTTGTTAAAAAATATTAGTCACTTAGTTTCATTTATCTTTATAACATTTTCAATAATTCCTTAATTACTTTCGTACAAATACTTTAGTAAGTATAACATCCATTTTATCCATTCTTCTTTTAATACAGCAATCCTCTAGTCTTGATAATATCCTTTTTGTTAAACTGCTATTCTAGCGCATGTCTCAGAAAATTCGTAATTAAAACTATTTTTATCGTAGCAATAAGATGCTTCTATTAATTTTTGCTTTGTAAAGGCGTCTTCTCAAAATAAGAAAATGTGTTTTTATGTAAACTTATTTATATTATATAAATTAAATTTATTCAACAACTACCAAGAACTGTGAAGCTTCAATCAAATAATCTAAATTTTCACATTTAAACTCATCGTTTACGCGCATTTATTTACAAAGCAATGTTTTAGTAGCATTATCGTATCTTGCCAGTTAAGTCGGTAGATCAGTTCTAAATTCAGTATCGTCCGATTTATTTCTAATGTGAGCTTCTAATTAGAAGATTCAAAACAAATCTCACAGTAATCACATATTTAGCGCAATCTATTTTTATCTTGAACTACTGAAATAACATATCAATAGAATTGCTGCATATGTACCTGTAATTATCGTCTACTCTAGACACTTACGCAATCATGCAATCAACGTTCCATTTATCTGTTTTTTTACAATCCTACAATTGCAATCTTAAACTAGTCTGAGGCTCCACTGTAATAAGCAATCAAAATTTCTATGACTATCTTCAGACTATAGTCAGCTACGTAATCTTTATAACATTTATTATTGCTCGCTCTAATAATTGTACAAATTATACCTTTTCATCAATATAGATTTCTAAGAGGAAATAAACTAAAATCGTGGGAAGGTTTAAAATTCGCTTCATCATCGGTAACGAATTTGTAAGTAACCTCAACAGCGTGATCTATAATTTCTCATTTATTCTGCTATATTTGTATATTTAGACGTCATTATAGGCATTTTATATCCTAATTACAGTGATACGAATAGAAAGTGTACTTCCTAAGTCCAAGTTATTTTATATAGACTACTAAGCGAAAATCAATTTACTTCCATCGGCTACTTGAAAGATTCAAAAATATCAGTGATGTAAAGACTTAATTACTTTTTATATGTTTGCCCTTGCTAGCTTCCTGTAATACTATTAACAACTTGAAAGGTGTTGATAACGCCATTTATTTGATTTCTTTAATTTATGTCGCTAGTGATCTCAGTCAAAACAGCATAAAAAATCTATCGTGTGACGGATTGCCATTTGTTCAGAGTTTGTAAGTATTGTAATTATCTATGTTTTGGTTAACTCTAGTAATCAAGTTGTATCTATCCATTATAGCACTTATTCATGCACATTTACTTCAAATAAAATTATCAAAATATAACAGAAATACTATTAAACTTGAGGATTTTCAAATATTTCTAATTTATACTTGGTTATTATTATGTGGGATGATTTCAGCTAATTGTATTAGTACAGTAGGGTGGCTATTAGGATGAGACAGCAAACTTATATTATTTTTATTGTAAGACTGTAATTCTCCAGCCAAGAACGTATCTAACAGCCAAATATAGGATTATACTGAATGTCTTTCTTATAAGAGTGTCACAAAACAACTTTCGTAGTCGTACCTAAACTAGTCTATCTATTCATATGGTTCTCTGACTAACTCTGGAGATCTTCAGTAACAGAAAACAAACTCATTCCTATAATATAATAATCGAGTCAAACGATAGGTTTAGGTTAATAAATATATTTATTACTAGCCCATTTACGTTAGTGCTAGTGTACTATACCTTAGCCTCAGTGGAACTAAGATTAAAAATTAATAATCAAGCTTACATACAATTTTATATGTCACGCAAATAACCCGATGCTAATCTTTCACATTAAATTATGTAATGTGCAATACAGGCTTACTATAGACTAAACCGAATGCTAATTAATACTTGTTACTAATTAATATTAATTAGCAAGTTCAATTATTTATCACAAATTTATGGTAAAATCTCACCATTAGTTCTATTGCCTACTTCGACATAAATAAATAATGATTAATTATATAACAATAATAATAATCAATCAACAATTGAGGATTGTAGCCTACAACACGACTATCCCTAATAATACTTTTAATCACACGACAGTATATCATTACAGTTATTCTACTATCGTAAATTGACCATTAATTATACGGAGGAGCATCAAGCTCCGTAACAAAGAGTTAAAGTATAATTATCCGGTTTATCTTAATAAGATGTTAAATTGAGCTTTTACAGTCTTGAAATACTATGTCTAGTATATTAAGACTTAAAATACTGGCGGTCCTCTTGTCGTCAGTCACTTACAGTATAATATACATCTCTTTAGATAAAGTCATACCCAAATTATATTGAAATTACCTATTGCATAATGAATCAACGTATATATTAAGCATTATAAGAGAAATAATGGTTTAGAATTCTTTACTTCGCTATAAGAGTATGATAAACATTGATAGTGGTATTATAGGGGAATCTGGATGTATTTATTTATTGAAAAATGATTGCCTTTCTTAAAAAGTAACTTTCCTGATAATAGAATTTTTAAAATTTTGTTATAGATCCATTGCCAAAAATAACATTACCGCGATTAATGATAACTGTAATGATTTATTTTTCAATTTAAACTCTATGTAAGTCTAATTTCATATAAATTCTAGCCATAAAATGGTCTAAGATTTTAAACACTAACGACGTGATGATATTACTTGTCAACTGAAAAATATTAGCGATTTGAGTTATAACAATCTGATAAGTAATGGAATTGACCTGAACAATCAAGTCCTGAATAAATTAAACAGCATCCAGAGAATGTATGAAGATTATTGGTCGATTATAGAAATGTTACAATATGTTCATTGTCTAAAGAAAATTATTAGTAATAACTATAGACTTAGTTAATATACATTCTTTTTCAATATGAGTTAGATCTTTGGCAGGAAATAACATTACAAGTTTGATCAGGAGGAATAATAACATCGTGAGCATGTAAGTAAGAGAATTTTTTGATGTAGTCTTTATAATATACCTTACGCGTGCATATGAAGAATCCTTTACCAAAAACATCGCATAAGTAACATAAGATATTATTTTACTGCAACTATACATACTAAATTATTTTGATAGCAATATTTATTGTAGTTAAATTTCCATGAATGCACATTATCGTGATGCTAATAATAGATGTTGTTAATTAATATATTAAAAATTGCTGATTACTAACATATATTAGCCACTAAGTCAAGTATGGTAACCAGATCTAGGTGGCTCCGTGTACTGTAATTATGATGGTACTCAGCATGCGCTATTAAATATTTATAGAAAAATATTGATGTTTTATCCAGATCGATTGGTAGTGTAAAATATTTCGGTAATCTAGTGGAGGATAAGTCTTTTGTTGATGATACGGATTTGATTGTAGATAACTTTGTTGTCGCGAAAAAGTTAAACAAAATTTATTTAAGAACCGTCGAGATGAGCTAGTCTTAAACTTTGTAATAAAGCATTCATTAAATTATATTTCTGCCTGAGATTAGATAGAATAATTGCGAGATACTTTCGCTACAACAGCACAGCTACTTGTCAGTCAAGGATTAATTATATCATCTATGGTAATCCTAAATCGTAGATTTGCGCTAATTGTTACAAATTTATCAATTTTTGTCTAGAGATTTAAGCTATAATCCAATAAGTTTGTCACGAATTATGGCAGTACTTTGGAAAGGTATTGCCCCATTCTTACTATCAGTGTAAGTTTTTGATCTAATATCTTATCAAATATGCGCAACTGATACAACGATAAGAAATTCTGGTACTTAAACTAAGAATTTATGATCGTTCAAAATGAAAATGTTATTTATTATGAACAGTCGTTATAAGTACAGAAGTAGCTTAGCAGTATTATGGAAACTTAGCGAATTTATTTTAACACAATCAGGTATCCACAGAATCTCGATATTACTATAATTGTTACCACTAAAATTGCTTTTATTTAATTTATAATCTTATCTACTTCAGTGCCTTCATGCAATAAGAAAATAAGTTTTTAAATGTTTATTCTACAATCAGATTTCCAAGTACTTGTTAATATAGAGAATTGCTACTCATCTTAGCTTATCTCGTACTTAATCATAAACCTGCAAATAAGTGATTACATTTAAATACTTTATTTACCTTGATATTATGAAGCGTGAATATTAGCATTTATACAGTAGAATCTAGCGAATACCCTCAAACATTCTTTAATAATTATGCTCTACGTGAATTTTAACGACATATAGTAATACCGAAGAATTTTAGCTTCTACAAATCATACAATTATCCTATCTAAACTTATTTCTTACGGCCTAGTAGATTGTTAACTTATAATAAATAATGAAAGCGCAATTACACAAAATAGCCAGAATTATCATGTTTTTTGTTTATAATAACAACTAGCGTAGCTGACAATTTTTTCAGATTGATTATTCTAAAACAAAAAGAAATTAGCTAATCTAAATGTTTATCAATTTCCTGAAATAAACGCTTACATCTTGTACTATCAGAAAACTTTACAAAAGTGAAATAAATTTCAGTTTCATTGGAAATTGCTTATATTTAATTTTAATTGAATAAACTACCATTTAAAATGTATCAGATTAGCAATTACATTGTTGAAATTGATAAATACTTTAGAAAAATAAGCAGCTGTAATATTTCTCGTATTCCGGAAAAGATATTTCGCCTTTTTAGAATGGTAAAAGTTATGTAAGTATAGTAAGCCTTATCTAATGCGTTTTAGAAATGTACGCTGTTGAAATACGTACAGCATATGCTATCGTCGTATCTATTTTTGGCTAGATTATAAGTTTAAATTAATGATAGCTATTTTAACGTCTAATAATCGTTATTAATTTTCAGAGATATTAGTTATAATCAACTGGAAACCATTGATATCACTGATCTAGCAGAGACTTATCGGGATAGTCTTGAAAATCTGTAAGATATACTCGTATTTTTATAGTATGTGTGAATTTGCGTTACCGACTGAAGGTTTTAACTCTTATTCCAATCTTATGATCTTTCAATTATCAAATTGCAGAGAGCTTACTCGATAAATTTTATTAATCTTTAAGCATTATTCTGTTTATATCACTCTGGTATACATCAGACAATTATCTGGAAATGCATTACAAAATTTAACGTTTTCAAAAGCTGTGCAATATCAAGTAATTACTACTCTGTAAGTAAAGACTGAAATGTACTATATCGAGTATTGGCTAGATTATAGAAACAAGATGTTGTAATTTTGAAAATAAATAATATAAAGCCTGCTTAGCAAGTTTGCAATGTCAAATGCTAAATAAAAGATTACTTAGAAAAAGGTTAAGACACTAGAATAAGGACTCCTATAATATGTATCATAAACTTACGCTAGCCTACAAATAATTTTAGGAATATATCTCATAATAACATTTCAAATATCTGTGAACAGCGTTTGGGAAATTATTTTCCATCTCTTCAGATCTTGTAAGTACATAGCCAAAAATTAAGAAATAAGAAACTGCACTTATGCTAGACTGTAACGTCGATACAGTGTCAATGTGCATTTATTTATCTATTCTTTAACACATCGTATTAACGGATGCTCTTTCGTAAAGGGATATTAGAAATAATCAGATTGATAAACTCACAAGCAGGTGTTTTAAAGGGCTTATTGAATTGAAGATAATGTGAGTTAAGGCAGCAATGATTCATAAACTGTCCGTTATTGAATCTGCTTTATCTATATTCACCTTATAGATTGTACTGTTTTAGTAAGCCTATAATTTATATCAGATAAAATCTAATAGTCAGCTTGTCTTACGACTTGTTACTATTACGTATGATATTAGAAATGCATTAGGTAATCATCTTGCCTACCTTACTCCTGTATCGTTTTATGGACCACCCTTGCTTTTGACAGTGTAAGTAAACTTATAAAAATTGCTATCCGTAGTTCAGACACGGTAAATACTTAAATGTATCCGATAACATGTATATCCTTTTATGGGCACTTATTGTGCAAAACTGATAATGATTCAGAATTAAAAAAGCTTAAGGAACACCCTTAGCTTTATATTTCGAATTATTATCAGGAGCATATATTTCCAAATACTTATTTGCTATAGTTACTAGGTAGTGGTATTCTAATTGCAGTTAATTTAATATTATTTAAGTATAACAGAGCGAGAATATCTCTGCTGCATGGTTCCTGCAAAAGTGAGAATTTGTCAACCAAGCATGTATTCTGATACTCTGTCCTCATGCTATCGATTACTGGCACACATCACTTTACAAACATTTATTTGGATTGTTGGTGGTCTAGCTCTTCTTGGTAATGTTTTAGTTCTGATTCAGAACTACCACCTAAGCAAGAGAAAAAGAAAAAGTGTTCCTACTTTTTTGGTTAGCAATCTAGCGGTATCCGATTTAATTATGAGTCTCTATTTAATGATCATTGCCATTGCTGATTTAATGTTTACTCGTGGTGATTATGGAATCAAATCGGAAACATGGCTATCGCATCCAGCTTGTCTTATTGCTTGCTTTTTTGTAACATTATCAAGTTTAACATCGGTTTTTATAATGATTATTATCAGCACTGATAGATACATTTGTATCGTATATCCTTTCTCGACTAAAAGAATGACGGTTGGACGGGCCAAGATTGCATTAGGAGTATTATGGTCATTTAGTATCATTTTCTCAGCTGTGCCAGTGTTATTTAGTATACAACAACCAGGCTATTTAAGAATTTATAAGTACAGTAGTATGTGCATGCCTAATAATTACCAAAATTTTTACTTTAAAATTTGGATGATCTCCTATTTAGCAATGACATTTATGGCGTGGATCATTATGATTATACTGTATGTTCGTATATTTTTCGCTGTCAAAGAAAGCAGTAAAAACATTCGAAAATCATCAACAACTGATAATAAGGCTTTAGCCGTAAGATTGGCTCTAATTTTGGTGTCTGATTTAGTGACATGGGTACCATATTACTATATAAGCGTAGCAGGGCTATTAAAAGATGGACAAGTAGATACTGTCGCACTACAATTTATTGCAACGTTTGTTTTGCCTTTAAATTCAGCAATTAATCCTTATTTATACACTTTGACCAGTGTAGAAGTTATTCGATTAATATTTAAGCGCCGACCAGAAACTGGTGTAACTTCTACATTCACTCGTACTCAAAAAGTCGACATTAATAGTATCTACGAAAAGAAGGTGGTTCAAATGGAAACGTTCGTAAATGAAATCTCTGACGATTAATACTGGTTGTACCAATGACTATCTCAGCACGGAACCATCTACTCATGGGATTGAAAGATAAATTATTTAGTAGTATTTTGTAGGTAGAGTTTCATTAATGCTAAATGTCACTATAAATGCACCTAAATTTTCAGAAAGCTTACATCGACGTTTATTGACGTTATATAATAAGGGTTTAACATTTGTATTTCATTACAGTTTTGTGTACAAGTAGAGCTTCATTACTCCTAAATTTCCTTTTGTTTGCAGAAAATTTTAATTTATTAATAATTCGATGGTTTTATCAAGCGTTTAGCATTTGTGTTCTATTACAACTTGTATGCATATTCCTTTTGTATGAGAATGCCTCTAAAATTTTGGAATTCTAATGTGCAATTATAACTCGAAAATGCAAAATGCGAAAGTATATAGGGGTTCATTCGATGGTTTATGTAGTATCTAGTATAATTTCTAGTAAGCATTCTATGATATTGGCCATTAGCAATATAAAGAGTGCCTGTTGCACCAACTTGCTTATTGTTTGGATTTAGATTTAGAGCGACATCCTCAATTACTTAAGTAAAGCAGCTTGAAGTAATGTGTCACTATGGTTTCTGGGAGAATATTTATGTATAGCATTTATTGTAAAACATAATTTTTGGGCTGATGTTGTCATAAGAAATAAAAGACAGGAATACTGTACTTGGTAGTGTGCTGGTTTTAGACGTCAAGACTAAACTTTAAAATAAAGTAAATAAAAATTACGCTTGTTGGAGGAGGCATTAATATTTTATAGGCTCTTTAATAGCGTGTTATTACACATTTAATCTAAAGTCTTAGGCGTATTTTCTTGTTGCAAGCTGATTGTGTTAGTAATACATCCAATAAAGAATTACAAAACGCAGAATACCGAATTTGCTTGAGTAAGCTGGAGTTATTGCCCCGCTTTCCTCATACGGTAGACTGCGTAGAGCAAAAGCCGGAATGAAAAAGTAGAGTAGCATTAAATTACTGAAATCTCTGATTGAGAGTCTTACCTTACTCTGGAATAATCTATTCCTTAGTTAAAATTCTATTTCTTTGCTGACGATTAAAATGCTTTTTTAAACAAACGAAACCATGATAGTATTACGTAGCAGCCTGTAGTGTCAGAGCGCATTGCTGTAGCATACCTACCGATTTGTTCTGCTGTTGTAATTGCAACTAAATAATATTTAATAAGGCATTACGGGTAATCTGATCTAGCGTTTAAGTTTCATTATGAGCTTATCAACGTATTTTTGTAACATAACAACTGATACTATATTGGTTCATATCAATTCTAATTCTAATTGATGCCCGTGTAAATTGTATCGGTATTCAACTGGTGCATTTTCTCTCTTTGATGCTTCGCGTAACTGGTATTCTAAGTAAGATATTTCAGCCTATGCTGTGCAACCTATGCAGCACTGTAAAAATCTGCAGTCCGCTCTATTGCGTTTAACTTGAGTTAAAAAGCTAAAGTTATAAATATAAGAATCTTTGCCATAAGCTAGCTTATTAGCGGTGTACCAGGTATCATCGTCGTCGGTAGTTACACTTATTAATCAGGTAAGCATGATATCAGAGTTCAATAGTTTCATGCACATACCGTACAGCGTAGTACGACGTAACATGAGGCTACGAAGTCATATTAAGTAAGGAAATATTAAAGAGAGAGCTTTCTTTGCTAAGCCTAGCAAGACTTACGAAATTTTGAGAGTATAACATTATTAGATCTAATAAAAAGGGAAACGATAAATAAAGGAAACAACTAAAAAGTAAATAATTGATAATTGTTTCATTTATGTGGAGAATAATCGGATTACCTACGCTAATTCTCCAGTAAGTAAAATACGAAACACGCATTGAAACATAAAGTATCGATAGGTTTACGCAAAACCGGCGAGCAAGTCCCAGGAGAACATCCAGCAGAGCTGCTATCTGTCAAGGTTCAGATAAAATCGTAACATCTTGCTAGTGTTTTTATTATTTATAACACCTTCGCTAAATTTAACGATTGAGTAGACATTTGTTGTTGATTGCGGCAGACAAAAATCCATTAGTTTTTATCAGCTTTATATTTTAATGACTATGGAGTATTTTAACGATAGTTTATTACGACGGTTTGAACAGAAGCAGTTGATCTAAGTTAGGGTAATTTTTTTTAAATTATATTTCTTACGCGTTGTAGTAAGGCTTTAGCAACTTTATGAAATAATTTTAAAAATTCCTATGATAAGAAAAGCAACAAATGCATACAAATTTTGAAATTGGCTGCGAGCATTCCCAGTTGCAAGAGTAGTCATAGTAGGAGGTAGAGTGGTAGGCTTATCTATTAATTATTAAGAAATAAAATTGTTACTCTAATATTAATATCATCCAAAAGTTTTCTTTTCATACACGGAAATAACTAGCATCTTACCAAAGATACCCATAACGTTATGAACGACGAGATTATCTAGTGCAAATACGCTGGAAGAGGGCAAATCATTACCTACTACCCAACTAAGACTAAGTTCGATCTACAGACGTAATAGCAAATCATTGAAAAATCAATTCACCGGAAAAAAAGGAGTGATAAAAGGTTGTACAATTTAATTGCAAAATGTCATAATTTGTTAAATGCAGTAAAATGAATATGGAGACATAGCTATATTCTCTGGCTTTTAAATATTATTTTACCAAAATGTGGTATCATACACTTATCATCTTAGATTATCGCAATAGAATCGCTAAATAATCGCTTTTCAATAAATGCCTATTCATATTATCAGTTGCATAGGACTAGTTTAAGTTGAATCTCATTCGAAGATGATCTAGCCATACGTAGAGCTTACTTGAAAATCGTTTGTTGGGGCGAAGTTATTTTTTGATGCGTTTACACTTTCCCAACCATTTGTTAGCCTTACGGTACTTTCATTTATTGTAATCCATGTACTACTGTTGACTAGCTTATACTTCATTCTCCACGTGCTATTACCTAATATACCGCCTACGTAGTGGTCATAAGTTATCTATAAAACAAGATATAGCTAACTTATTTATTATGCGAATAAAATATATAGCATTTCTTATGGTTTATGTCCCTATTAATAGAACTTAAACTACTGCATTTAAATATAAAATATTTCATTCCTTATTCGTACATAGATAGATCCCGATTTTCTTTTAAAGATAGGACTTGTGAATGTAGCTGAGCTGCTTGATTCATTGTAAGGAAACCTTTTGACAAAAACATACCCTGAATCTGCATAGACTGATCAACAGAATCAGGCACAATTAGAACACAACGATTTATCTTAGCGATTTAAGAGCGGATGTTTTATCTTTGTATTTGTATTTGTAGTATTTAATAATCGACAAGATGTTCATATTCGGATAGGTATCTTAAATGATTAGTAATACCTTTTTGTGTCGGCTTGTAATGTATGCCGTCAGAGCGTTTCCAAATCCAGGATACTCCCTGGCCCGAACTCCATCCACAATAACCATATTCGAACGTACAGTAAGAAGGCTGATTGGTTGTAGCTTATTTTGAGGTAAAAATTAATGTTACTAAATCTCGTACTCTATAATTATAATTAAATTCATTTTTAATTGCTCAACAGCTACTAGAGCATATCATAGTTATTCAATACCCTGCCTGTTGTTAATCTCCTATATTATTACGCATTGCTTAAATGACTACCGAATTCACAACAAATACACTTAAATAGTGTCCTATATTACAATGCAAGCAAATAATAAACGATCAAGTATCTTACTATAGTATTTTTTGTCATTCCCGGGATCACATTGAACAGTAGCTGTTTCATTAGGATGGTACCAAGATATATTGTAGGTACAAGGCTTGGGAGTGCTGGTAGTTTCTATGGTGCATTGAGAAAGTTTTGTCTCGTATCCCAAACAACGAACGAAACTTATCAAGCTCATAGGGTAGGTTACCTCAAGAAATTGAACTATATTAAGGCAGTTATTACGAATTAATCGCAATTAAAGTTACAATCGTGACAGCTAATAATGGTATCTACGTTTTTCATAAAGCTGATATGAAATACTAAATATTTACCGTTTCTTCGCCTCACACCAGTGTAACCAAGTTCTCTACAGAAAACTGACGCAGCATTGTTATTATAAGTCCAATCATGTAAGCAAATTCCTCCTTCTTGATTGTTAAAGCCGATCATAGGAAGACCTGTATAATTATTAATTGTGCCTACAACGTCGATGTCAAGCTTGTACTTATTCGCAGCTAAAATTTAGAAAGTGCACATTCTGGTTAGTGAGCAAAGTAATCGTCTAACCAAAAATTATATTTTAGTATTTGTCACCAAAATCTAACTGCTAATTTAGTATATATATACATATTTCATGATGAAATAAATTTTGTTTTACAAGAACATATCCAACTTTTTAATGCTATAATTAAAATACTTGCATGTATACCAAGGCTAACTTACTTAATGTATTGAGAGAAGGCTCTGCATAGCATGATATCCAAACATTCTGTGCAGAAGAAGCTGATGCAAGACTTGCAGATACGGTACATTCAGAAAAAGATTTTGCAGATTGAGGACAAGAAATAGCCTGTGCCGATATGCAGCGAGAATTTGACATATTGACTGGAATGCCTGTGCATGTAAAAATTTAACGAAACGCATGTTGAGTTATATTAACAGTCATTGGTACCATGTAAACTTTTATTATACTCGTATTTTAGGAATATTATTCGTCGTTTCTTACTCCAGTAACTCCCATAAGAGCCGAGGTTAGTTTGCCGACACATAAGATTTATTATGTTAGGTGCTACTTGAACTGAAGAATTACAAATTCCAAACCAGTAGCCGTTAGCGTATACTGCTAATTGACCGACGTCTTTGGAGTCAGCTCTGTTTTCCAATGCTGTGATTGCTACCGGATTTTTCTCTATTGAAATCAAGTAATATGTTCTGATATTAATCCACTTGAATATATTTTCAGCATATTACACTACTGTTAGTAATTACACTTGACCTGTAAGCCTTTGTAGGCATTGATATTTAAAAAAATTATAATAAAACCTCTGAATCCCATTAACTAATATCACAATATTTCTATATTTGCTTATTGGCTTTTTTAGAAGCTACTGTATGATGGCCTTAATTTTTAGAAATTTAGTAGTTATTACTCATTGAAATTCATCTGAGGCTTCAAATACGAATATTTCAGAATTATTAGAGATTGAAATTAACGTACTCGTACTAGAGACTGTCGTCATTTTGAAATTATCGTGAAATATCGTAAAATCATTCGCGGAAAGGCATAATTTAAAGAAAAATGTTCTTCTAATAAATACTTAAAATAGTTTATATTCAATCAATAGAAGCCCAGATCTATCGATATGGTCACTTCCTCAATTAGATTGCAAATGAAGAGTACAAGTACCGGTGAGTTGCAACTTTAATTTCCTCCTAAATTCCCTCACCTCCTAGTGGATAAAGACTGCCTGACGTAATATTTGTTGGACCGCAAGTTGTTATATTGCAGTATTCCCATTCAAATGTAGTATCGGATATATAACACCACGGTTTAGCCCGACTGGCACCAGGGTTTCGACACCAGTTGGTCCATAAATCGTATTCTTGGTAGTTTGAACTTGTAAATGGAGGAGGTGCCTTTGACCAAGAGATGCAGTTTTTGCCAGTTTCTGTAACTCTTACACGTCCACGATAGTAATCACCGTCGGATGTAATACAGGTTTCCTCTAGATACAATGTACCGTAGCAATTATTCAAAAATATGAGAATCTGTTCTTGTTTTAGTTATGATTTATTAATCAGTAATATAACCCTAAATACATCAAATTTGTAGCTTAAATTAATAGTAGATGGAGCATTTGCGACTTTATAGGAATCGGCGATCAACAATATATAAGCGATTTGATGCAGTAAGTTGATAAAAAAATATTATTGTCAGTTGTAGGGCAAATTTTTTAGTAACTATAACTAAACCGATGACATAGTATTTATGTAAGACTGCAGACCGTGATTCTCTGTTGATGTTAACAAATACATATAATTATTACCTGCTGGCCATATTTTAAAGTCAATTAGGGTAACAGTCCCATCTCCTGGTGGGAATAGATATCCAGAATCTCCAAGGATCATTACCTTTCAGCAAACAAAGTAATTAAAGTAATATTTCTTTACGGGGGATTGTCAAGACCGAAGCCGTAACTTATTACGACAATGTAAAAAATCTTTACTCTAATTTTCTCTATCGCAATATGCTTGCCTCGTTAGTTGCTTTAAATTCGAATTACGATACTTTTCTAACACCAACATCACTACTGATGCTTTAATTAAGACTGGTTTTGATCGACGACCGTAACTTTACTTTACTCAATTCCAATTGCAACTGCAACAACCTTACATTCAATCAACAGCTGACTTTGAATAAGTACCGCATATAGCTTAATGAAGTTTGATTTCACAGATAAAGTCTCTTCTTAAAGGTAAACAAGAACTACAGTTTCTTGTTAACTTGACTTTATTACGTAAGATTATGTTAGTCTCACAACTGCCAAGGATTATTTAACTACAATAAGACTCTCTAATTAGACGTATTACAAATCAAATTATTGCTTACATGATATTCCGGATAATCAGGGTTAACTGAATAGCTAAAGATGGTTTCCGGTTTGCCCACTGATGAGGAACTTCCTGGAAGATACTTTCCTTTCTCGAAGTCGATTTTATTGTTATACTTCGGATAAATCAGATAAACATCAAGTGATCCCATCCAGACACCATCCGCCTTCCCTGTTAGCTTAAGCTAGCATCAATAATTAATATATTGCATTATTTATCGTTTATTATAAAGCTTAATGCATTATTTGGAAATCTAAAGCTCCTTATTATGTAGCGCCTCTGGTACTTGTTCTGCTAACGTAGGCCTGAGATCTTGTAGAATACTGCAATTACGATATTTTTATAAAGCGTATTTGTAACTTTCGGTGTATTCATTATTTTTTAACTTTAGAATAAAATACTTGTGTATAAAACTAACCTCATTTTTTGTAGCGCCAGGAGAGACTCTCAATGGTGGGCTTACTATGTAAGCAAACTCGCCTGCGGTATGTTTGGTGGATTTGCTTGTTAATGTTAAGCCAACATTTTTAACTACGGTAAGACATTACATCAGCCGTACCACATGAATAAAATTAGACCATAGTTTAGTTTTGAAAAATGTTGCAAAGTAAAATAAGCAAAACTTTCTCAATACTAATCAAGTTAACCGTCTGAAGAAAATTAGAAATCCATAATCGAGGCATGCATACTTGAGCGTAAATCTACATGCAGTATTAAAAGATTTCAGATCTACGGGATTCATTAATTTTGTTTAGAATATTTACCATGCTTCCAGTCCGCGAAATCGATACCTACCACTTGTTTCCATCCACAATCATCTAGTGTAAAGTTACAGTCTGCGCCAAAAGTAGGTTTTACTGGATTTTTTCACAGTTCACAAGGTCAAATGTACACATATCGAGCATATAAGAATAATTTTAAAAATAAGAAATAAGAAATTTCAAATTAATGTGACAGTTATCAAAGTATTCGAATTTGTGAAAGGCAGCATCGAAATTGCTACATATACTTTATTATTAGAAGTTAGTCTACGATTCATAATCAACTTTATACGAATGCAATCAATCGTAAAACTAAGTCTTACTTTATCCCTTGCAAAGAATACATACCTTGGAAGTTGTAAACCGACGAAATATTAAAACCACTTCTTTTTATCCTGGGCTTCCGAGCGAATTCATTCTCTGCTAGAAGAAAAATAGCAATTAGAATAAATTTATAATCTTGTCTTAAATTTCACTTAACAGAAGCATAAAAATTTAAAAACTTATTGCAGTCTTTCTTATACAAATCTTTTGAAGTCATAATGATCTGCATATTTACTGATAAAATAGACCATTTAAGAAATGTGAGTAAAAGTGTATTGCATGCAAAACATGAAAAGATGATATTAAATGATTAGTCCCTCACGATCGCAGAATTTAAGATTAAAATTAAATTAAAATCATAGTTCCGGACTTTAAGTATTTTTTTTATGTTCTTCATGTTAGCACATAATAAGCCGTTTTGGCTAGCATTGACTGGAAACGCTCTATACAGTTATACTCGTATATTACGAATTATTCTAAATATTTTTTAAATATCAAATTATATTCAAGAATTGATTGAATAATTTATTATAAAATATTCATACTAGAAGGATAAATGCTACAAGGGCATAGGTCTATCATAATTAGCTGACGATGACGTTATTCTGACAAATTTGGCTGAGTGATACATAATTATTGGTTATTTCCTGAACTATCACCTTGAGCTCTAGATAGTTTTAATTCCATAAGATCTTTAAGCGAATATCCAGCATATTCTTTCGGTGATTTGCACTTTCCAATCAAATTGATATCTAAGTCTTCAGCAAGGCGTAACAACTTCCTAACCGCGATTTGGCTACAATCCACACTTTCTTCTAAAATACTAATCAAGATGAATTTTAGTAATTAATCTGAAGGAATGCTCGAGTAGAGCAATAAATCAAGAATTATTTCTCAATTAGGCAAGCGCAATAGATTGTTTTATCTTTTATAGGCGATTTACAAAAAGTGACAAATTATATTATAAAATATTACAACAGGAACTAATAATTTTTGCATCACTTTACTTTATTAAATAAATTTTGTTTATCTATCAATGCTATGAGCAATCAGTATTGGTGATTCTCTAACTTTAATAATCTTTTCTAGTTATAGCTTCACAGTAGTTACTTCATAACAAAAAGTAACTTATCTCAATCTGTTAATATCTAATGGTCCTAATATATTTATGGTCGCGAAAAGAATACATTGCATAGCGTAAATATCATCAAAAGAATAGATGCTAACATACTATTAGAATTTAGCATGCTACTTAAACTATTTTCATTTAATCTACGTAAAAGAAAAGCATAACTCTGAAAAACTAATTTCTTAAAGATACTTTACAGTTAGAGGAAAGAATCGTATTAATATAGACTTGGAAGATGCTTTGATCGATTTACAATTATACTACGAACGTATCGGCAATAATAGACGTACGAAATATTTTTGATCTGATTTTAGTAAAATAAACGTGTCGATAAAATCGCTAAATGCTTGCTATAACTACGTCTATCTCAAGCCAAAAATTAACCTGGAAGTCCATTACGTCGCTAATAAATGATCAGCAAACACGTACACTAGATCTAAAACTACGATGTAAATGACAAAATCACTTACATTTGACGAGTATCTTTCGGGACTTCCAATATTGAATCTTCTAGCAAACTACAATGAACTGCACCATCTTGGCATTGGCATTTGTCCGGACAACTATAATATTCATAGCCGTTGCCGAAAGTTAATAAAAAGAGCCCTATAAGCACTGTTTGACTATATTCCTTTAGTTTCATTTATGAAATTTCTGATTATGGAATGCAATTTATAAAATTTTTATTTTGAAGTCAGATCTACTGCTATGGTGATATAAACGATTTTACTGTGTATTAACTATAGTTTTGTATCTTAAATTTTGCTTTTGACTCAACAAACGATAGCAATAGCTTAAATTAATATATCATACGGATGAGTTTGGCTATTTATAAATTGGCAAGGCAGAACCTCTTTGATAAATATTTTGTGTTCGCACAATCATTCGTCATAGGAACGACCAATCAGGACGCAGGTCATAAGTAGGCAAATAAAGTCAAATTTTTAATGATTTTCATCTGAAGGATTATTACGGTTTCTTTGATCCTGGACTCTAAGCTTAACGTAATTGGTGAAATTATTAGCTCAGAACTTATAGAATATTTTATTTGAGTTATAAAAGAATTCAATAGAAGAAATGGTACATTTATGACTTTGAATTAAGCCAAACAATAGATTAGTGTAAAGTAAGGTGCGACTGTTTGCAAACTTGTATAAGTACATCACCCACCATTATAAAATCGCTACTCTCCCATCAATGTTGAAGAGTATTAGCCAATCAAATTGAAAATACAGTAAGGAATTTAAAGCTATGCATACCTGTCACATACCAATATTGACAAAGTATTCTACACACGTCAATGCTTACGAAGAACGCCTCTTACTGACTTAAAGAGGCGAGATGCGCTATATCACTTAATAATTGAGTTCCAACGATACAATACTATAGTATAATTATAGCCTCACTGATAGTGTAGACGAGGTAGTCAGAGATTTACTACTATTTATTAATGAAGAAATCTTGGCAACCAAGATTATAGCCTTGACAATTCAATAGCAATTGACAAACTAGTTGACTAATAAACCGACTACCTAACTAAAAAGTGGTCTTCAGGCACCAGCTTTTTATAGCATTGTCAGAAACTCTTGGTGTACATAAAGTAAAACTATCCTTCCATAGTTATATCAGGGAGTATTTTTCTGGTATGGGGCAAACATGGTCAATATACAGCCTATTAAGCAGCAGCAGTAAATTTTCAAAACACAGCATGAAAGCCATAAATAATAGTACTGCATTCCGTCTTTTAATTGCTAATAATTGCCTAATTTAGCTTATGCATTTTAAAAAGATTCAGTAAGGTTAAACATTGCCTTGAGCAGAATCGGACGTTCATGCACATAATTTGTTTGAATTGCTCGACTACTATAGTAAGTTCACCTTACAATTCAATCAGGAAC